CTGCTTGTCTCACGTTGTATGCCACGGGTCTTTTTTTACAAAATACTGGTTTTGCATTTGGTTTTGTAAAGAGCTTTACTTGTGACTTATTGTAGTAACCCAGGTCATTATTGAATACATCTTTAAAGGTAGTTTTAGTTTCTTCCAAAGATGTTGGTTGTTGCTTAGTGCTAATTTTATAACATATTAAGTTTATTGGAACGTCCCTAAGTCCCATTTTCTCAATCTAGTCAATACCAAGCAGGATTAGATGTTTAATGGACGAAACCAATCATGTTCTACTGACTGGCTCTTAGTTTTTTAAAGCATTTTGGCAATTATTTGTTCCTGTAAGTTTAACTTCTTCACCTGAAGCATTTTTTGCAATCTGGATGGTCTGTGAAATAGTAGGTTCACCTATCATTTTTCATGTTTCATCATCAATAATAGTGACATCGGAAGCAGTTAAACTGAAGTTTAACTTTAGAATCGTTAATGTAAACAATACATTTCTTTTTGTTTGCAAACATTAAGCGTTTAAACTGATTAAAAATATAATTTTGTGGATGTTTAGATATAATAAAATTTTTATATTTCTTGTTAGCAGGAGTTCTTAAATTTCTAAGCAGTAACCGGACTCTAGCTGCGTCATCTAACTTAGCTCCGTCTATAAGGAATAATTCTTCATACCTCCTAAACCACGAAACGAAAGTAACGTTATTATCCAAATCTGATACAAACTCCATTGGATTTCTGTCTAAAGATTCAATAATTACCTTTGTGTTATCCGTAATGGAACTGGGCCTCAAAACAACTATAATTTTTTTGTGTTAGTTGTTCCAAAATTTAATTTTGTTGCTGCAATAATATTGCAAGGGTGTCGACGTTCATTATCTTCGTCACCCTTGTTAACTAGTGAATGAATGATACACTACTCATAGAAAATACTTTAATATATTTTTTTAATGATTGACAATTCAGAAAACTGTCAAAATGTCTGACCTGACGTCACAGTTTAACTAACTTGATGTCTACAGGACAAGCATATAGTCCATGTACTCCATGCTAACCATTTACTATAAACTGGCTCAGAGAAACTAATTAAAGTATTTATTTTTAATTAAAAAAGGAAAAAGTACAAAAACTTCTTTAAATACAAATTTATCTAAAGTTCACTACTTATCTGGTTTTTGTTCTAGACCCTCGATACGTTCCTGACTTTTAGAATTTTTCAATTTGCATCAAAATTATTCTTGGAGCAATAACAAATTATTTTTGTTTTATTCTCTTCGACTTAAAGCACATCTATTATTCCCTTCCCGTCATACAATTTTACCCGCAATGTTCACAGTTCCCATCCTAGACTACATAAAACACCATGAAATTCATTTTAAATGACTTAGAAAACATTGTAAGGAGGAGCAGCGGCGCTGGAAGTCGTTTGCTCATGTGGCGCGATGTGTGTGGTTTTAAACAGACTCTGACAGCTGAATGTCATACTAATTGCTCGTGCTTCCTTCTCCCTGTTTCGGTTATGATTTATAGTTAAAGCGATAAAACTTCGTCTCGCGGCACCGCAGATTTTTTTCTTGCTGTTTTGGTCGTTATATTTATTTCGCAATGCTTATTAAAACCAATGACGATGAATTGGAAAATATTAAAATCATTTCTTGGCTCCATGGATTATATTAAAAATATATAAAATATAAAAGGTAATATCGTTGAGAATAAATTACAATTATTATTATTACTTAACAGAATCATTTAATAAATTATTTTTGGTAGTAGCTCCTGGCCTTGCTGGATTTATTATAAAGCCTCAGACTCATCCACCTAAAATTGTAAATAATAACAGAATATTCCCAAAAAAATCTAGTACTTTTTCTTTCTTCTCTGGCGTGTAGCAGCGTACGTTTTTTTTTTTATTTTTTTACCCTTCAATGAACCAAATCGTCACTGTAAATTGAATTTTTGAAAAACCTGGTACATTTTTATGGAATCTGGTAAATTTTTATAGACAAATTGGTATACAGGGTGTACCAATAAAAACTCCCAGGCCGAATATTTTGGTAAGTAATAAAGATAATTTAATTCTGTAAAAGCACTAAGAGAACTTCAGTTTTAGATATACATTGATTTTAAATAGATCAATATGTAGATGGCACTGCGCTCAATAATTTTTTTTCGATGGGAGGATCTTTCTTGTAAAAAATGCATTTTTAGGCAGATTTTGTTCTATGAACTAATTCGATATATCTAGTCATTTTGATATACAGAGTGGGTCACTTAAAACAGTTTCGTCCTGTTTTTCAGCATTAATCATTGGATTTTAAGAAAATACTAAAACAGGTCGATTTTTATTCCATATTAAAAACATTTTTACAATACAGACATCTGTCATGTGTCAACCCTCTCCCTTGCACTTCTCCATACTTTAATTTTAAATAGGTAATGTACCATGTATGGCACATCATTGAAAAGGTAATTTAATGGGGGATTCAGAAATATTTCTGTACATTGCGTTACTTAAATTTTATCGCCCTCTAGCGGAATAAGAAAATACTACGTAATATAGACTGTGCTACTACAATGTGTAGTACATCATTAAAAATGTAATTTTATGGGGAATTAAGAAATATAACTGTTCATTGTGATACTTTTAATTGTACCGCCCTGTATCGGGATAAAAAACTACGTATTTTAAAGTGTGATACCGTATTTGAAAGCAAATTTTATCACTAATTCAATGTACCACAAAACATTATTATAAATATCCTCCATATTGCACTTTTAATAGTTTAACAATTGAAGGGGTAAGTGGATGAAGGGGTTATGTTATCAAAAATAGTTTTTGAGCAATTAACTATTTAATTAGATTCATTGGCATTTTTAGTGAAAAATGACTTGAAAATGCGTTTTTGTGAGTTACTAAGAGTGATTATGAACTAATTAAACGCATAAGACGAGACCAAGGCAAAACACATCAACAAAGAAAAAATAGGATTAAAAATGTTACATAACCCTTTCATCCACTTAGACCTTCAATTAGTCATGCATTATTTTAAACATTATTGCTTTATTTTGTTGCAAGTGCAATATGAAAATATTTATATTAATGTTATTTGGTGCATTAAATCAGTAACTAAATTAGCTTTCAAATAAAGTGTCACACTTTATAATACGTTACAGATTTTTTTATCCCGATAGAGGGCGCTAAAATTAAAAGTATCGCAATAAACTGTCATATTTATGACTTCCCCATAAAATTACATTTTTAATGATGTGCCGTACATGGTATATTCCTTATTTAAAATTAAGGGGTTGGAAAAGTGGAAGGGAGGGGGTTGACAAATGACAGATTCTGTATTGTAAAAATGTGTTTAATTTGGAATAAAAATCGACCTGTTTTAGCATTTTCTAAAAATCCAATGATTAATGCCGAAAAACATTATGAAACTGTTTTGAATGACCCACTCTGTATATCAAAAATGGCTAGATTTATCGAATTAGTTCATAAAACAAAATTTACCTAAAAGTGCATTTTTTACAATATGCGCTACATAAGACAGAGCCTCCCATCGAAAAAAAATTATTGAGCGCAGCGCCATCTACATATTGACCTATTTAAAATCAATTTATATCTAAAACTGAAGCTCTTTTAGCGCTCTATGAACTGGCTTTTACAGAATTAAAATATCTCTATTACTTACCAAAATATCCGGCCTGGGAGTTTTTATTGGTACACCCTGTATAACAAAAAATATTTTGGCAACTTTGAACACGACTATTTCGGAATACGCTGTTAGTAACTAATCTAGTTATTTTTCACTCTGTATTGCGTCTTTTTATTTCGCTCCTCCTAGTTTAGAAACAGAGTATAGAGTGTGCCAATAATAACAATATTGTATTCTCTCTTTATTTAAATAAGTCAAGTGGTTTGAGCTGTAAGTCAGTCAGTAAGTCGAGACACTTTATTTTTTATTGAAGATTTTATGTTTAATTCCAAAAGAAATCAATGAACCCTTTGTATGTATACTACTTACTTAGATTTAAAAAAAAAACTTATTTATCAAGCTTCTTATGGTAATTTTCATAAAACATACTCATATTAACATTTTATAAAGTATAACAATAAATCCACTCTTCTCTGGTCCATATCAGTTCTTTAAAATATCTACATTATTTTAACTTAGGTTATAATTTGAAGAATGTTAAGTACTAACATAAGAGGCTTATATGTTGATAGATAAAGTAAAAAAAAGCTGTCCCTCTGCTTTTTGTAAATATTACATACAGAGTGATTTAACTCTTTTTTATTACAGAGCGAGCATTTGCTTTTGTTTTAAATGTTTTTAAACCTAGGATAATATGCAAATAGACTGCTTTTGTTGATTAATAATTATAATTTAACCAGCTGTAATTTATTATCGACCGAATAAGTTTCTTACAATACCTAATATGACTTTTACATTCAGTAAAAATTAAGTGGTCTCCAATAGTATTTATTGAGGTATAGTTTTCAAAGGTCGAATTCACATTTCTAAGTTATTTTTTTTATAATAATATTCCCCAAGATATGAATTTAGATGGTACGGACTATATTGGACCGCAGAAGTCATCAATGGTTTTGCTGATTTCTTTTCAAAAATGCTTGTTTCCTCGACCACATATTCCACTTCAAACTCATTAACAAATAACAATGTATTATATATAAAAAAATTACAGAAAAAGAAATAGAGATCGCCGCGAAAAAATTAAGACCTAAGATGACCAATGGTCCAGACTAAACTCCAGCTTTCTTAGTAAAAGATTGTGCATCCTCATTTTGTAAACACAACAAGATGGCGTCAAGTGATGAGGACGGTGAACTTGCTCCTCAAAAACAATTAAAAAAGTCCTTTAAATGCTGCCAAAATAAGCAAAGTAAAGTGATAGTGTGTGTTAATTGTGGAAATGTATTTCATAATTCATGTTTTGTGAAAAATAAAGTAAAACATGTGAAAATATGTGACACGCGCATCATGTGCTGTGAAACCTCTGAGAAAGAAGATGGTAGCAGCATGGTAGTAATAATTCAAACTCTAAAAAATGAGATCGATCTATTGAAGAAACTTATCTTTGAAAAGGATGAGAAAAACCGAATTCAATCAGAAAATATACAATTGCTTAAACAAAATAATCAATTACTTAAAGAGAACCTTGGTACCTCACAAAATAAAGCCAATAAAAAAGCAGAAAACTCCGCAGATAAGACCCATATCCTGGCAACAAAAACTGCTGAAGCTGATAAAATTAATTTAAAATCTAAAAACGAAACACAACAAAAAGTAAATAATATCCAGGGACCTTGTACTAGCAAGGACAGCAAGGTGAATGACCAGTCATCAAAACAAAAAGATGAATTATTAGGATATCAGAAACAAATAATGGATAATTTAATTAACATTAATGATGAATCAACAAATAATAATGACGATGGATTTATTGAAGTAAATAATAGGAAAAGTCGCTCTAAAAAGGATGTAAGCTACAAAAAGAAAACCTTTGGTTTAAATAAAACAGAAAATTTTGGTGTTGAAAAAAAAGCATGGATATATTTATACAGAATAAAAAGACATGTGACAGAAGAAAAAATTTTGGGCTTTTTAAAAAACTCCCCAAAATTTAAGGATGCCGGAATCACTGTTAAAGAACTGCCAACCTCTGATTCCCAAAATAAATGTTTCATGCTTAGTGCTGATTTTAATCTAAAGGATGAGCTCTATGACCCAAATAATTGGCCACAAAGCGTGGGAATTAGACGATTCGACTTTAAAAAATATCACTCATATCAACAAAGAAACAAACCAGCGGATTTTTAAAAGCGGAAAACTTAAGTTGTAACCTCACAAATAGGCATTTATCCATTGACGTCAACCTCGAAAAATCAAGCTTTCCAGCATTTACTATCATACACCTCAATATTCAAGGATTAACTCCAAGGAAAATTGGCGAATTAGAAGTACTTCTGGATGAAGAATCCCCTGATTTGCTTTGTTTATCTGAACATTGGCTAACTGAAAACGAGGCTAATGTTTTCAATTTAAATAACTATAATATTATTAATAAATATTGCCGAACAACAAGTGAACGTGGAGGTGTGTGCATTCTTGCAAAGAACCATTTGGTTATTACGGCAGTTAACTTTAAAAATTGTGTAGAAAAAAACTTTGAAGCAACTATGGCATATTTTGACATATTTAATGAACATGACAAGAGGTCTAAGGTATTTGTTGTGACTGTATATAGAACGCCTAACAGTAATCTTAATATATTTCTGGACGGGATCTATGATCTGATATATAGCATTTATAAACCAAATAACTACTATATTATATGTGGGGATATAAATGTAGATTTCCTAACTAAAACAACAGAGTCAATAAAAGTAAATAATCTCTTCTTTGAATTTAATCTAGTAAATCAAATTGACAAACCTACCCGTCTAAACAGAAGCATTGACGCTGTATTTTCCAATATCTCGTCTAGCACTACTATAGTGGGAGACACATATTTGTCAGATCATAGATTTCAGAAATGCAGTTTTAATTTACCTACAGCACAGGGTAATAAATTTACTACCTTTTATAGGCGAGATATTTCAGATGATAACTTGGTGACTTTCGGAGGGCTGCTCCAGAATGAGGATTGGGCAGATGTGTACTAAGCCACAACAGTGAATGAGTGTTTTGATTCACTATTTACAACTTTTCAATATCACTATAATAAAACATTCTCGTTTAAAGCAATCAAACACAAAAATAAATCCAAAACAAAACCTTGGATAACCAAAAACATTAAAGAATTAAATCAAATGGTATGTGAAATGTGTAAACTTGCTCGTTCTACTAACAATGAGGTACTTAAAGTAAAATATAGTGAATTAAAGCATATTTACATAAATATATTAAAAAAAGCTAAATCAGAATATAATAACAGTAGAATTTTGAATGCAACAAATATAAGTAAGGAGAGTTGGAAGATTGTGAATGAAAACACTAATAAAACAAAAAATAAAGCCCCTACTGAAATAACCATTAACAATAAAAATATCAGTGACAAAAATATTCTTGTAAATTATTTTAATGACTTCTTTTTGGATATTAATAAACCGATCCCTAATGTGGATCAATTAAAGCTCGCAGTATTCTCAGAAGCTAGCTTCTTTTTATATCCTACTACACCTGTAGAAGTTGATGAAATTATTAAAAAAGTCACTAAAAAACCTTCACCAGGTTTGGATGAAATTAATGGCAAATCCTTAAAAAGCGTAAATGACTCAATAAGTGTACCTCTCTCATTTTTAATTAACATGTCATTTTGTCAAGGCACATACCCTGAAAACTTAAAAACATCTAAATCAGTTCCTATATTTAAAAACAAGGGTTCGCAGCATAAAGTTAGCAACTACAGAAATATGCAGTCACAGTTTGCTAAGATCCTGGATTACGCTTACTACTTAAGGTTAAGCAAATTTGTTGAACATCACCACCTAATACCAAACTGTCAGTATGGATTCAGACGGAACAGATCAACTGATACGGCAATAAATCAATTATGTGAATATCTATACTCGTGTCTTGACAGTAAAAAACCTCCAATCACCCTGTTTTTCGACCTGACTCGAGCATTCGATACGGTTGACCATGAACTACTTCTGGAAAAACTGTATCGAATCGGAATCAGGGGAGTTACTCACGATTGGGTTCATTCATATCTGTTAAATAGATCCCAAGTAGTCGTAATAGACTCAGTCAAATCAAAACCTGCCACAATATCAATGGGTGTTCCTCAAGGATCCACACTGGCTCCCCTATTTTTTATCATATTTATGTCAGACATATTAAATGCTTGCAAAACCTTTGGAAAAATTATCATCTATGCAGATGATACAAGCGAGACCATAGCTGAAGAAGAACTGCAGCTATCTGTCAATAAAGCTAATGAAGCAGCTGAGGAATTTTCATTATGGTGTACAAATAATGGTCTGCTAATTAATACAAAAAAGACAGTTTTTATGGTATCTCAGCCAAAAAACGTGACTTATGATTTTTCTCCACTAATAAAAGTAAATCATGCATCCATAGAACAGGTGGATCATTTTAAGTATCTGGGTGTGACTGTCGACCAGAAATTTACTTGGGAAATGCACACACAAAATCTAGTTAACAAAATTAGTGGTTTATGCTACGTAATACGACGGCTTCGAGGAACAGTTTCACTTAGCGTACTTAGACTGACTTACTTTGGTCTTGTACAGTCTCTCCTATCGTACGGCCTTGCCTGTTGGGGAAGCTCAGTACACATGAACAAGGTGTTCATTATGCAGAAAAAGATAATCCGATGTATCGTAGGATTGGCCCCAAGGGATTCATGTAAAACTTTTTTCGTTTCTCTGTCAATCTTAACTTTACCTTGTCTATACATATACACCATATCAACTAACATTAAAAGAAATGAAGAAACGCATCTAAAAAACAATATGATCCATACACACAACACCCGACGGGCTGATGAGTTGCGACTGCCATTCTCCCGATTATCTGTGGGGCAGGGTTCCTTAAGTTACCAGGGAATCTTATGCTACAATAAGACTCTTAGACTTTTTGGACATATACAGAATTTTAATAGTTTTAAAAATACTCTATACAAGTTTCTCATGGAGAATGCTTTTTACTTTATGCAAGAATACTTAGAATTTTAGCTTCTTTAATTTTAATCTTTTGAAATAATTTTAAATAATATAATTTTTTTTTGTATGTGACGTGCTGATCTTTTGATCTTAAATATTGTAAACTAGTTATTTTAAATATTGTATAGTGTCATGAATTTATTTTATCTCTGTGTATAGTGTACTATCTGTTTTGTTGACAAGTCTGACACGCTTTATGTATGTCATGTTTCATGAATATGTAATTCTTTATAGACGAATAAATTATTTCTAAATTTCTTATCTAAAATTTTTAATTTAATGCTTAAATCTAAAAAGTTTCCTAGTTGCTGGAAATTATCCAGAAGTTGTCCCGTGTTTAAACACAACATCTATTAGTTCAAGATATCCTCGACACCTGCCACCATCAACGTACTAGAGGTATGACTTAATATCATCTGGATACCTTCTTATGTAGGAATTACTGGCAACGAACCTGCAGACCAAGCAGTGAAACAAACTTGCCAGTAGAGCAAATTCAACCTCATCAAGACCTAAAATCAGCAGCTCGACAAACGATGATTCACACATGGAATACACGCAACACAAAATTTCGTTCAAAACAACCCACAGTTACCGCTCGGAAGATGCCTCCAATTACAAGAGAAGCCAAAAGCGTTATAAGAAGACTCAGAATAGGTAATTTCTGGCTGACCCATGGTTACCTGATGTCCTCACAGAACCCCCTATCTGTGAAAGTGTAAGACTTACAATTGATCATATACTTTTAGATTGCAAACACTACAGCTCAACTCGTCGCAAACGCAAGTTCAGTGGAACTCTTAAAATCATTATCGGTCTACCTGACCAGTTTAGTGCTGTGATTCAGTTCCTTAAAGACTGTCGACTGATTAATTTAATTTGATATTATATGTAACCAAATGTATCACAAATCCCGTGTCAGTGGCCACTAGATGGCGAGACTCGTTAATTTTAATAAAAAAAGATGAAATAAAAATGATAACTATGAACCGATAGCCATATTGTCTTACTTTGCTAAACTATTTGAAATTGTAATTCACGACTATATATTACATCATGTCAATCTACTTATTATCCCAGAACAACATGGTTTCATTACTGGACGATCAACAGTTTCCAATTTACACTGCAAAGCGCAATATATATGTGATGCACTAGACTAGAGAGGTCAAGTAGATGTAATCTACACAGACTTCTCTAAAGCCTTCGATAAATTAGATTATGGATTACTATTAAAATCCCTTGAGCTGAGCGATTCTCTAGTTGCTCTCTTTTATTTTTAACTCTCTGAATGAACTCAATATGTTCAAATATTGGAACATAATTCTCACATCTTCCATCAAATGGCATGTGTACCCCAAGGTTCCGTATTGGGGCCATTACTGTTCATAATTTTTATAAACGATATTGGAAGAAATTCGAATCCCAAATATCTACTATATGCAAATGAAACGAAGTTATTCTGTGAAATGACTGTTTGAATTTCCAGCAAAATCTGCTATATTTATCCACGTGGTGCAAAAATATTAATCTCCCACTAAGTATATTGTAATGTAACATATTTCTGTCGTAAAAAGACATTAATAATATTTAACTATTCAATAGATAACGTTGTTCTAGAAAGACCTGATTTTATTAAGAATCTAGGTATACAGGGTGTTATTGAAATACACGTACATATTAAAATGGGGAATAGTATGTAATGACCAAAAACGATTGGCACCAATTTTAACTTCAAATTATAAAATTTAAATATTGGGGAAGAGTCCCCTTTTCCGACCTACTAGTTTCCATATTTAAAGAAGTAAAATAAATCGAAATTGAACTTACCCATAGAAATTGCACTGTTGCCGTAACAAAACCAATTAATTCAAAATAAAGTTTATTACAGTAATTGCCGTCCATTATTATTTACACACACTTGCAATCGTCTTTCCAAAGAACTTTGAACATTAGAAATTAGTCTTGGATTTTGTCGTAGTTCCTTGGCTACCGCATTAACTTTGTTTCGTGTGACCCCACAAAAAGAAATCGCATGGATTTAAGTCCGGAGATCTCGGAGGCCACTTAGTAGGTCCATTTCTAGTAGGTACCACATCCGTTGCCTTAATTGTAACGGTATCTCTTCTA